TACTACTAAATATGAGGGGTGCGAAAATGTGTACCATATAATATACAGTCAAAACAACGGTAAAAAATACATGTGTATCATTTAGCAGATACCGTTGTGATATTTTCACTCATAAATACTAACCTCTGAAGAAATTTCTCACTTCCACTCGCATTATCGGCGAAAATTTCAGTACTTCACGTGTCTAAGTAGACAATTCTAACGCTTCTAAATTTGTTTTTATTGATTTTTAGGCTGGCGTTGGTGCGTTGGTAGCCAAAAAGCAGCACATTGAGATGAACTTTCTCACAAAAACTTACTTTTAATCCATTCCAATCATCTTTCTGGATGTGATACGAGTGCGTGTACTGGTAAGGTGCAATTAGGTTGCGTCATATGGCTCTTCATTAAAAGCCTTTTTGTTCCATCACATAGTAGAGTTCTCTACTTCGCGTATCGTCACCATGTCGTTCGTGGATCCCCTCTGGGAATTTGTTCTCGAGGACTACGAAGAGGAAGACAATGGCTGGGGTCGTCGAAGGTCGAACCGGAAAAAGAAAGAAGCTGCCAGGAACGAAGGGAGCTACTTTAATTTTTTTGGAGGTGACTCAGATCAGAAGAAGTCGCGGAAGGCATATCAGTCTGATGATAGGAACGATGCTGATGTATCAGGAAGACGAGAATTAAGCAAAGTCAATCTTACTCGTAACGACTCGAGAGGTTCAGCATCGAGTTGGGGTAGAAAATCTAAAATCAGTAGTTCCAAAAGTAGCAAAAAATACAGCAACGACGGAAAAGATGGCTTTTGGGACGTGATAACGGGTGCTCCACCTGCAGCTACAATACAAAAGAACAACGCACGAAAGTCATCACCTAACAAGAACAGCAAAAATCGTGTTTTGCGAAAGAAAAATGCATCAGAATCGATTAAGAGAAGTCAATCCAATGTGTTGGGAAATAGTCAACCAAAGCCATTGGTACGAACTTCTTCTACGAAATCTGAGAAGAGCAAAAGTGGGTTTAAGAAACGCTTCAGACGGAATCAAAGCACAAAGTCATCGGAGAAAAATCGAGTTTCAAAACCTGAAGTGAAACAGACAATCCCAAACAAGCCACCGCAGAGCGCCAAACTTCCTGATGATGACGGATTTTATCCCATTGATTTCTTTCACCACATTGCTGATTCTCTAGATCCATGGATTGTTGATTCGTCGGTAGCGTCCTCCTCGGAAGAATCTTCCATTACTATTGACGACGACGAGGATACTAGATCCTACACTTCGTCACAAGTACAGAACGAAGACGGAGTGGTTGCAAAATCTGAAAGCCGTTCCTCGGTGCGTGCAAGGGACGAGAAATCGAATTACAAACTAGAATCACTATTAGATCAACCACTGCCCGATTCCAAATCAGCCAAACCGAAAGGGAACACGCATCATCAAAAGCAATCGACAAAAGAAGAAACTGGCGTAACAGAGATAAGGCTGAGAGTCAATCCTGGTGGCAACACACTTTCAGAACAGGTAATCAAGGCAAACCCGAATTTGTACTATAGTTTTCCAGAAGACGCACAAAAGTTCTTGCACAAAGACGATGTTTCGTCAAAATCGAGACCATCCTTCGATGCTTCTGAAAGTGATAACTCCTCAGTTGTGTCGAGGATAAAGCAGCACTTGAAAATTAAACCGAAACAACCGCGTGTTGTTAAAGACAGGGACAGCAGGAAAATTGCCAAGGACAGTATTAGACCTACTTCTAAGGAGATGAAGCCTCCAACGGCTGTTCATATTCAGAAGAAACCTGAGGCGAGAGACGACTGGGAAGACATTGAACATCAGAAGAAGTGCCAACTTTGGAAGAGAGGCAGCTGCAACTCAGAGAGAACCTGTAAAAACGACTCAACCAATCTTTTCGGAAAAGCCGACGAAACGGAAGTCTTTCCGACTTCGCGGGTCGTAGTAAATGGACAAATACACTCTGTCATGGGTCCTGGATCTGATCCGTTCAATGGAGTTACAAGTGTTTCCCCTAATCGCTTAACCAATTCAGAAGGTCCGCAGTCAGTTTTTGCGTATGACTATGACAGCAATGAAAATATGGATGTCAGTTACAAGAAACCAAATCAAAAACCGCGTGATAGTATTGCTGTGAGAAATCTGGGTGCTCCTCCAGCATTATCTCTAGTTGGAGAAAATGTTGTAATTCAAGTCGAGGTATGCTGAGTAATAATCGTCATGTCAAACAATTTGCGGACTCCACAATTCATTTCTGTGTCTCACCCGAAATTTGCTTTCATTCTTTTCAAGGCTTCAACTGTGTCTGAGACAGACTGTATTATTCGGCAAGGGCTTTGGTGGCGCACGCAGCCTTCATTTCCCAACACTCCGGGGGTAGATGTGGTAGGGAAGGTTTATAGTATCAATCCAAGTGTTGGGAAGAAGTACGGGCTGAGTCCTATGCAATCTGTCGTTTCGTTGGTGAGATGGGGGGGAAATAGGCGATTCGTGACGATACATCCCAATCAATTGGTCAAGGTGCCTAGAGGGCTGGATCCAGCTCACGTAGCTTGTCTACCGGAAACCTATTTAGCGGCCTTTCAGGTTCTTCATATGGGTCAGCCCGTAAATCTCCGCTATGGTAAACACTCTCTGAAAGGGAAGTCGGTGTTGATTCTCGGATGTATGACAAATAATATGGGAAAAGCTATGATTGAGCTCGCTCTCAACGCAGGAGTAGCAAATATTTACGCTACCTCCAAGAAGAAACACTGGAAAACTCTCATTTCCTACGGGGTCATGCCCTTGAGCTCGGATCCAATGGAATACATTCATCGAATTACAGGGACAATAGATCTTGTTCTGGCGCCTAACGGTAATCTTCGTGAAGATGTAACTCCTGTCCACTTCAGAGCTCTCATACCAAGATTCGGACGGTTGATTATTAGTGGACGTCGTATCAATGGAAATGATATTCCAATTAATGATTGGAGAAAAGCACAGAATGCTCCTGCATTAGCTTGTGGAAAGAACAAAGCGCTTCAGAAGATTTTAGGAAACTCTGCAACGTATGATGTTTACGACGAGTGGGAGAAAAATATCGATCTGTGCAAACGGGATCTATATCACTTGTTCAAGCTTTTGGACACGAAAGTCATCAAACCAGAAGTGTTGGATCGCATTTCACTGAACAAGGTTGCGAAAGCTCACGAATTGATTGAAACTAAACGATTGCCAGGGTTTTTGGTATGTGAGCCTTGGATGAAAACCAAGAAACGAGCTGTATATTTGTAAAAAAATATAATTAATGTTTCATAAAATGATAGAAATGGATACATATTTTGATGAGCTATTTTGGAGCGGACTGCGATTAGATTATCCTTGTTGAAATTTTTCTGTCCTTAATTTATATGCAAGTCAAATATTTGTTGGAACGATGGTATGGATCTCAGTGCAGAGTTCAGTCACACGTTCTTTCGTTCTCTGAGGAAGAAAAACGACCACATCACTTATGAAACATGTAGGAGGACACAACGAATGTCTATAGTGAGTTATTCTTCCATCTTGCCAACATAAAGACCGCGAAAATCGATTTTGGCATGAGTAAGGTATCGTAAACGTAGAATGAGGGAATGCGCATATTTCTAAAAGGCTATAAACTTGATGCAAAAAATAAGTTTAAATTACATTGATCTTTCTGTGAATAAATGTTGTTGAAAAAGATCGATAGTTCTTGATATCGACTTATTCCTCCCCTAACATTTCACCAGCGTCACTTCGAAGTACAACATCGCTCCTTTTCCTCCGCCGATATCTTTAAATCCGTATCCTGCATTTGGCGGGACGATTATATGCCTTTTGCCGCCCTGCTTCATTCCTTTCAATCCAATTTCCCATCCTGGAATGACCTCTCCTTTGCCAAACTTGAAGGCAAATCTTTCGCCGGAATCTAGGACCTTGCCGTATTTATTTTTAGCCCTTAGCACGTATTGACAAACTATCTTCTTCCGATCCACGAGGAGGGGCCCCGTCCCGACCACAACATCCATGTATCGAACGCCCATGGAGGTTTTGATGAAAGTGTTCGTATCCGACGACACTTTCTTTTCGAGCTCTTTCAGTTTTTTCTGCTTTTGTTTTCGTTTTTCGCGTTCTTTGTTCTGTTTTTCCTGGAGAATCTTTAGTTTTTCTTGTTCCTTTTGGGCTGCGAGTTTCTTTTCCTTTTGCCGTTGCTTTTTTAGGCGCTTTTTCTCTCTGAGACGCTCGATGCTGTCCTTGTCGTTCTTTTTACTGTTGCTATCGTTGTGATTCTGCGTTTCGCCGGATTTTGCTGGGCTTGCTCCTACATCTTGTTTCGATGCACCACCTTTCCCCGAATCATCGTTTTCTGGTTTCGATCGCTTGGCGGAAAACGATCGTTCCAGGGAATCGTCGTAGTCCTCGCTCTGTAGCCTCTTTCTTCTTCGTCCCATTGTCTATTTTCGATGATCTTTCTTTCGCTACTGTGATGTGATGGTGAAAGTTAGATTGTCTCCTTCGAACGACTGACTGAAACAGAACAACAAGAAGCACTTTATTTTCCTGATCTATTTCTGATTTCTGATCCGTAAAACGAGTGGATTTCGTTCTCGTTTATTTGTTTGCACTCATTAAAGGGGATAAATGATTAGGGGGATTACGGTGCCGAACCTTTTTGATAGAATGACGAAGTCTACAGTCAGGTGCCGAACCTTTTTGATAGAATGACGAAGTCTACAGTCTACGAAGTAACAACGTTTACGATGATACGTACGGTACATACCAGTACGTACTAAGTAACTGAACTATCCATACAAGCAGTCAAAGTAGTCAAAAAACTTCATGAAAAATGTGCGGTGCAATCTGAAACCGTGACAAAAAAATTAGGGAAAGGATTTTTGAAGTATGGAGTACAAAAGCATTGCAGCAAACCCAGGAAGTGCCAGGGACCACGCCGAATCATAATCTACCAGAACCAATCGGCCAAAGCACAATGGCGGATTCTTCATCCTGCGGAGGACAAGAGGCAGCTACCAACATCGTTCCCGAGAACGATACTCTTCCACTCGAAACACCGACAAAAGAAGACTGGGAGGTACAACGCGATGATCACAAGCAATCCGCCGACCAGGCGTTCCGAGCACGGGGTTTCAAGACAGCCATCGACCAGTACACAAAGGCGATAAGTCTGGACCCAGAGTTTGTTGTCTTATACAGTAATCGATCGGCGGCCTATCTTGCGAATGGGGAGTCGTCCAAGGCGTTGAAGGACGCCCGAAAATGTCTCGAATTGGATGCGTCCTTTACCAAAGGTCATTCCCGCCTAGCTGCGGCGCTCATGGCCCTCAAGAGATATGAACAGGCGAAGGCCTCTTACCAGCACGTCCTGGAAAAGGATCCGAAGAACGCTGCTGCTACCAGAGGAATCGAGTTGTGTGCGAAGGAGATCACGAAACGAATGACTCTGGAGGAACAAAAACGTCAAGAAGAGGAAAAGCGGGAAAAGGAAGAGGCGAAAAAGGCCGAGGCTGCGGCGGCAGCAAAAGAAGAGGACGACGACTTGCTGAACGGCTTCTTCGACGAAGTGGAAGAGGTCGTAGCAAAAAAGAAAGAGGTCACAGTGGCATCGAACAATGCCATTCGCAACGACCGAGAAACACTAGGATCGACGCAACAACAGATCGAACGCCTCCTCCAACCTCGGTACGAATGGCGCAACCTGAATCCCTATTACGTCCTGCAATTGCCCGCAGCGACATCCACCGACGACGACATTTCTCGTCGTTACAAGGCTCTTAGTTTGCTGCTCCATCCAGACAAAAATCGATCCACATTGTCGACCGAGGCAGACCGAGACCGGGCACAGCTCGCTTACGACCAAGTCCAGAAAGCGAAGACCATTTTAGCGGACGCCAGCAAGAAACGATACACGCAGTCGCTGGTGGAGGAAGGAATGAAAAACGGGGAAGCACGATGGAAGCGAGAACAGCATCAAAATCACAAGGGGAAAGGCAGCGGCGTTTCTAGTGGCAACGAGACGCTGGAATCCATCCAAGAGAAAGAAGTCATGAGGATATTTGCGCAAGTCGAAGCAAAACGAAAGGACATGGAAGAACGAGAACGCAAATTCGAACAGAGAGAACAACAGCAGGAAGATGACCAACTAGAAAAAGAACGAAGGGAACGAAAATTCAATAAGCAATGGAAGAACCAAGATCGGGTGGACAAACGAGTTGGAAACTGGCGGGACTTTGATGCGAAGAAACGAAAAAAGTTATAGGAATAATTGTATTTTGTAATATCTACTGACCTTCAGAGAATGCTGCTGTCTAGTGTACTCTAAAGTATGCGGTATGTTCGTGTGGCATCCTTGCAGAATTAATGTTTTGAAAATAACTGTGCATAACGTGGCTAGATTTCATAAATAATTATACCGGGCTAAAGAAATGGTACACTCCCGCCTGAATTCATCAACGAGCAGGAACAAGAGTGATGCCAACATGGTCGTTATGACCCTCAATGAGTGTTATAATATGAGTACGAGTAGTATCAGGTATCGCAGAACGGAACGGAAGTGTATGACCTTGAAACGAGAAACCATCGGTAGAAAAAATGTCCCAGCTATGTGGTTTACCACAGGTCCCTGTTTCGGATCGTGCTGTGGGGGTCCTGGGAATCTATCTATTGCCAATTGATTTCACATCGTCAATTTTCCTGATTGACGTTTGCTTCCAGCTTCCACTAAATTTTTGACGAGACTGCCATCATTTGATCTGCGTTGCAGTACGTACCGCACGTACGTAGGAGTTCGATACGACTGCTAATTTCAAAAATTCCAATCGCCGTCTCATATCACACATCACCGCATTTCACACTTACCGACAACCACAAGGGCGCAAGGAGGGTATATTCTCTGTCCMAAAATCCGATCTAGCATGGCAGCGATAAAGCTCCTGCTTGCAGTCACGGGTATCTTCTCCGGTGTATACATTTACAGCGATGCCTTCATTTTTCACCATCGTCACAGAGCAGGGCTTCGGCTGCAACAGCAGCGAACAACACATGCGGATCGATTGCCGCCGGCGACGGCTACAGCACTCACGACCGAATGCGAATCTACCATGGACGCAGCGGAGCGAAAGAGCTTTACGGAGAAGCTTCTGGGTCGTCTCCATCGGAACGATACCACGCCCGTAGTCGTCGAAGGATACGTGACGTCCAAACGAACGATCGGAAAGAACCTCGCGTTTCTCGACTTTCAGGTCGACCACGACGGCTCTGGCGAAAAGGACAGCGATCACAACCTGTGCCAGGCTCTGCTGCGGAGCGACATCTATGACGGACCTTGCCACGACGGCTACCGTCGCTGCCTCTTGAAAGGGTGCAAATTCAGGCTGACCGGGGTGGCGTCGTCCACGAGAATACCGGGGAATGTTGTCTTGATGCTGACGTCGATGGAGCTTCTGGCGTTGCCCCACCAGTCGCAGCACATCCAGATTGTCTTGAAACTCGCCACAGAAGGAGATCTTCCGTTCGACGAAGTGGTGCGGGCGTGTTCCCCGGCCCAAAAGAATCACGGCGACCGCGACCAGAGCATCCGGCTGGAACTCGAGGAGTGCCGTCGTCTGTCGTTGTCACCCAGAAGCACCGACGGCGACAAGGACGATCCGCTTGCCGAAATGGCCGGACGTAAACGAGTGAGCCGGCGATTGAAGCGGATCTCTAAGGAAATTTTTGCTGCGCTGCCACACGATCCACAATATCCGGTCGAAGCCGACCAAAGAGCGCTATCCAAGGAGGGAAATTTCATGGTGCCCCCGGTTCCGAGCAAGTGGCAAAAAGTCCCAGAGCTGTTGCAGAGTGAAATAGAGAAATCAAAACATGCCAAAGGCGATCCGACAGGAATCATGGCAAATGTTGAAGAGGAAAGGAGTGTGAAGGAAACCCTTTCTGAGATCACCAAGACAACCAAAAGAGACGGTTTACATATGGGGGACCCCACCATGAGAGTATCGGTCACTGCATGGGTGCAGAACAGGCGTCGGTTTCAAGGTAATGTTACGGTCTTTTATCTCGTAGATGACATGGACAATCAGTCGTTTCAGAACCAGAATCCACTCCAGGGCAACATTATGACAGATTCGTTGGATCGACTTCCGTGTTTACTCCACCCTGATGCTTTGTCAAAAAATGGCCTGCACGATTCAAATATGTACCAAAACTTAATTGCGAGTGGATCAAAAGTACGCATCGAAGGCCTGACTGTGCACTCGGATGTTGACAAAAACAACAACAAAAACAATGGCAACGAAGACAAAGGAGGCAACGAGGAAAAGCAAGCCTCGGCCCCGCTTTTGTGGGTTCAAAGCATCCGCTTGGTGCGGTCCACGTTTCGCTCCGTTACTATCCGTCATCTTTTGGATCTCCTCTTCGAGAAACGGATCGATCCAAGCGAAGCTTCCGAGGCATTACTAATTCCATATGAAGAAGCAAAACAGCTTTCCCTACAATCCGATGCAACGGAACGCCAATGGAAGGCTAATTTACTCGCTGTTCAATTGCAAAAAGAACTGTCATCCAACAGCAAAACGATAGGAAGAGTGGATCCACTATTGTTGGAAGTGATGGAAAAGTATAGGTATCTTTCCAAAATACACCCCGTAATTGCGACTGGCATTGACGACGAAATAACCACGGGAGATGATGATAGCAATAGTGATAGAGTCAAGAGAGATGCGCTAGAGATGTCTTTGGGCGAGAATGTGAACAGCAAGAACGTCCAGAGCAACGGACACAATAATTTAAAACGTGGTCCACGAGGTATGCCGGGGAGCAAGTGGCAAATCAAGAAAAAACCACAGCTTGAATGGATGAGCAGACAGATTCAAATGGTACTGGAGTCACATCCAGACTTCAAAAAGCGGGAGCTCACGATTCTCGACATCGGTGGAGGCAAGGGGCAATTAGCCAATCATCTCGGAACAAAACTGGGACAACACGTCAGAGTCCATGTTGTGGACATTTGTCAGGGCGCTGTGATGAATGGGAAGAAGAAGGCCAAGCGGCTCGACCTTCCCGTAGATTTTCAGTTCGCGGATGCGAGCAACTCAAATTTGTTGGATGCCGTGGATGCAGACGTCGTCGTAGCCCTGCACGCATGTGGCCACTTGTCGGATGTCGCACTGAACCATGCCATTCACCGCCGTGCTGGATTTGTGATTGTCCCCTGCTGTTTCAATTCCAACCCCCATCTTATGATCCCTGTCAGCAAGAAGAACACCCTGACGAAGGTCCAGGATTGGCTGGGATTGCCCCCTGGTGACTGGTCCGCCTTGAAACTCCTTGCCGAAGTGCAAGACAACATCCCACTTGCGAGCGAGGCAATTGGAATCATTTGTGCCATTCGCGCCCAAGCTGCAAAAAATAAAATGGCGATGGAAAAGAAAGACGACTCGAATGAAAGTGCTGCGTCTAGGGTCGTCGACCAAGACCGCGAAATCACGATCAAGAGCTTTCCAATCCAATATTCCACAAGGAATACTGTACTTATTGGAAAATGTTCATGACTTGACGGACTGACATCCATACTTGCGGGCAGTTCTTTCGTGATGCGATGAGTTAGTAACAACCACATCGGCTAGAAAATCAAGTTTATCTGTGCATAAATTTATCCAACCATTACTCCTTTATGTTCGAGTTATGCCTGAAGCGTCTCCGTTACCTTTTCCCTCAGTCTTACAATCAAAACACTGGTGGTCGTAACTTTGCAGACTTGTTCGCTTTCCATAGCGAGGGAATCTACTATATTCCTGTATCATCAAACTGGTTAGTTCGCTTGACAACTCTTCAAACAATAAATTGATAGAACATTAAGATTGTTCACTCCATTTTTACCCACAAAAAAATATGTGTAGTCTTTGCCTTCAGCAAAACATATGGTAGATACAGTACACATAACCCCTGTAGTATACTACGATGAAACTTCCAAGGTTCTTCGTAAAACGCCACATACGGTACGAAATTCCCCCTCCCCTAAACCCTAAAAAGAAAGGAGGAAAAACAATGACGAGAATACTATCTGTTGCGGGGAATCGATACCACGGTACGCGGACAGACCGACACCACCGGACAGACGACGGGTTCGCCCACACAACGGGCGTACTTTATATATATAGCCTACAGACACGGATCAACATAAGTGACGTGGTGGCAAATGAGCGAGTGAGGAGGGAATGAGCGATCCATGATTAGGGGAAGAGAACCAGAAGTGGAATTTAGTGATTTTAGTGTAATTGAGAGTGTATGCTCATTCTTTTTAGTTTTATCCAGTTAACAGCTATGACATAAGCTTTAAGACTTTCTGTAGTTAAGTAGGAAGATTAACACATGAATTCAGCATAAAACTAAAAAGAACGAACTCACTAAAGTTACAGTAGCAGCGAGCAACGGCTGCAGATACTGCAACGACGGTAGGCAACCATTGGGATGGTTGAACAAGAACCAGCCGAGACGAGCTCGGCGGGAAGCGAAGCACAAACCGCTAACGCGTCCCCACCATGGAAGGGTGGGTACAGACCGCGAGGCGGAAGAAGAAGAAACAAAAGCAGCGGGAGCAGACCCGTGAGTACCCAATCTGGGTTCAAGGGGAGATGTGACCAATTGAACGGCCACATCTTTGACGTGGGATCCACGCAAGCATCAAGATATATGAAAACCAAGAAGGAAATAGTACAGTACGCCGGAAGGACATACGGGGCGGAAGTACGGCGAGCCATTAACGACGTGTCATGTGTACGCGCCATCATCGATGGAGATAATCCAACCAAGGACATGACAAAGGAAGCAATCAAAGCAATGGATGAAATACAGCTAACCGTGACTAAGGAAATTGCTAAACGGCACACTATAAAGCTACTGAAATATGATGACGATATGAAGAAGATGTATAGTACCATACACGGACAATGCACCGATGCCATGATACAGAAAATTAGCGCCGACACGAGCTTCACCTCGGTACAGGATGAAAATGACGCAATCGGTCTGCTGCGGATAATAAAGAAGATATGCTACAGCTACGAAGCACAACAGTTTCCGCCTCTGGCGGGAGTGCGAGCCATCATGAACCTGTACAGACAGACTCAGGGCGAGTTTACGTCCGACATTGAATGGTATGAACAGTTTGAAAACCTCCTCACAGCAGCAGCAGCCTGCGGAGGAGAACTGCATGTCCCTGGCGTGGACAACTATATCATTAACAGGGATTACGGTGGCGAAATGCCAAAGGAAGAAGAGACAAGACGGATCATAAGAAAGAAAGCGCTTGAGCTCACCCAGGCTACTATCTACATTGAGAACGCCAACCACGCGCGATATGCCGGTATCAAGGAGAAGCTTGAGAATGACTTCTTGATGGGACAAAATAACTATCCTGAAACACTAACTGAAGCACACAACATACTGGTGAATTATCGCCAAGGGAACGGCAGCAGGATAACGAACGGCAGCGGCAAAAGGCACAGTACTGACGGAGTGATGTTCGTACAGAACACGGGAGAACAAGGGCAACGACGGCCACGGAACAGCGTCAAATGCTACCGATGCGGGAAAATGGGCCACTACTCATATGAAAACGTCTGCAAACCAGCTGATGTGGCGGCTCACGAGCGGCAGCAAGATACTGAAAGATCTGGTTCCGCGACCCAAGACAACGATAATACACAAGATCCAGCGGACCCGCCTGATCAAGGGACGTCCGGAGCGGTCAACGTACATTTTACCGACGGGCCAGTCATCAACACCGCGGAAGACGACGGCATCGATCTATACGAAGAGGAACCATATTACGGGCTCATGTGCTGCACCCGAGGCGTAATCGCCGCGGGAAACGACAGCATTTGCTACGATAATATCTTAAGCCAGACAAGCGGCAAGATTAACAAGGATTGGTTGCTGCTGGATAACCAGTCTACAATCAACGTGATCTGCAACCCGGCACTCCTGCGAAACATACGAAAGACGAACAGACCAATGTACATTTACTGTAATGCAGGAGTGGCAACTACCAACATGGTTGGGGAGTTCCCAGGCGTTGGGACTGTATGGTATCACAAAGCAGGAATCGCAAACATACTGTCGCTGTCACAAATAAAGAAGCAACATAGGGTCACGTACGATAGTTCCATCGACAACGTGTTCCGAGTACACAGCAAGGATGGGAAAGTATGCAGGGAGTTCAAGCAATCCAAAAAGGGACTATACTACACGGTGATGATGGGCGAAACTGCAACGCTGTTCACAAACCAAGGGATAACCACCGTACGTGCGAACAAGGCAAAGTACTCGGCGCTGGATCAGAAGAGGGCCCAGCGGGCTTGGAAGATGCAAGACATCTTGAACGTCACGACCAAGGAAATGATCGAGCTGATCAACAAAAATGCTATTCCAAACTGCCCAGTGACGAGAGACGATATCAACATCGCAAATGACCTGTTCGGCAGTACAGTCGTAGGGTTAAAAGGGAAGACTGTTAGACGATCTGAACCACATGTGCGGGTTAATATCACCCCACTCCCACAAGGAATCGCAGCTAAATATAGGAAGGTGACACTGGGTGCAGATATTATGTATGTCAACAGTATCCGTTTCTTCATCACTATCTCGCGGCACATTCAATTTGGGACAGTCGCAATGATAACTAACGCAAAAGCGAGCACATTACAGGAGTGCGTAGCCGAAATAAAGAGCCTTTACGCTAAGCGCGGCTTCGTTGTCGAGACAATAAGCATGGACATACAGTTCCAGCCCATCGCCACAGGGATAGCAGGACTGGGAATCACACCAAATTTCGTATCGCAGGATGAGCATGTGCCGGAGATCGAGCGATACATCCGGACAATCAAAGAACTTGTGCGAGGAATCCAATGCACACTCCCGTACAAGCGTTTGCCGGGACGAGTAACTATCGAATTGGTTGCAAGCCAAGTGTTCTGGTGGAACTGTCTCCCAAAGCCGACAGGAGTGTCTGCTACCATGAGCCCGAGGACGATCATAACTGGACTTACGGTAGACTACTCGAAGCATATGAAATTGCAGTTCGGGGAGTATGTGCAGACTCATGAGGAGACGGACAACAACACTGGGCGCCCGCGAACGATAGGCGCACTGGCGCTGCGCCCAACCGGTAACGTCCAAGGAGGACACTGGTTTTACAGTCTCCGAACCGGGCGTGTGATTAATAGGAGCAGATACACGCAGTTACCAATGCCAGAAGAGGTGATTGAGAGAGTAGAACACCTCGCGAGGAACTACCCCGAAGGTGTAGACTTCAGGAACAGAGCGGGACACCCAATCGACGGGGATCCGACTGCGACGGTTGACCCAGGCGGGAACAACGGTGATTCCGACGATTCCGATGCCGACTCCGACTATGAGGATGATCTCAGTGTCGACAGCTTCGACGACCGCCTTGACGAAAGTTTCGTGGATGAGGACTCAGACTCAGATAAGAGCGAAACAGAAGCGATAATAGATCTAGATGATGAAGCGAGGGATGATGACTCCGAGCCGGAGATCGAAAGAAGGGATGGCCTCCGACCGTCTAGGGACCGGAGCTACAATCACCTAAAAACAGTGGGTTACATGAACAACTTGAACGCAAGACGCGGACAGGAGAACAAAGGAATGAAACAGTATGCCATGGTCCTACATGCTCTCATTGAGTTTAACAAGGATGAGAATGCGTTCTATGAGCAAGTGCACACCATACTGTTGACCCAGTACGGAATGAAACAAGGAATTAAAATCTTTGGTGAAAGGGGCCTACAGGCAGTTAAGACCGAACTGCAGCAGCTCCACGATAGAGAGGTCGTTGAGCCAGTACCAGCCAAGGAGCTGACTGCGGACCAGAAGGCAAAGGCCCTCGCCTATCTAATGTTTCTAAAGGAGAAGCGATGCGGAAAGATCAAGGGCCGAGGATGTGCTGACGGAAGAAAGCAACGGAATTGGATGAGTAAAGAGGATACAACATCCCCCACAGTGTCGATACAAGCATTGATGCTGTCATGCATGATGGACGCATATGAAGGGAGAGATGTAGCCACTGCAGACATCCCCGGAGCCTTCCTACAGACATCAGATGACAGTGGCGAAACTCATCTGAGGCTCGAAGGAGTGATGCTCAAGCTATTAGCAGAGATCGATCCATCGCGATACGATAAACACATAAAAACAGACCATAGGGGAAGGAAATTCCTCTACGTGAAGTGTTTGAAGGCAATTTACGGAACACTCAATGCAGCTCTGTTATTTTGGTTGAAGTTAAGTGTGGACCTCACCAAGTGGGGATTTGTCGTCAATCCATATGATTGGTGTGTGATGAACAAGACTGTGAACGGAAAGCAGTGCACGATACTCTGGCATGTGGACGACATCAAGGTGTCTCACCACAATGCAGAGGTAGTGACACAGGTGCTCAACCAGATCAACGAGGTGTATGGAAAGGAAGCCCCATTGGTAATAACCAGGGGAAAGACACATGATTATCTGGGGATGACCATCGACTTCTCCAAAACCGGGAAGGTGCAGTTCACCATGCATGATTATATCGAGAACATGCTGGCAGAGCTCCCCCCCGGGCTCGGTGAGGGTGAGTCCGCGACGCCAGCTGGCCACCACCTGTTCGACGTGAATGAGGTCAACCCAGAAATACTTAGTGAGAAGGAACGGGTCATCTACCACACCAATACCGCAAAGCTCCTGTTCCTTGCAAAGCGTGCACGGCCGGACATCCAACTTCCAGTAGCATTCCTCTGCACGCGAGTCCGCGGCGCCGACAGGGATGACTGGAAGAAACTTGACAGGGTGATGAAATATCTCCGTGGATCAATCGGTTTGCCACTGATTCTCGGGATCGATGGGAGCGGACAACTGAAGTGGTATATTGACGCAGCGTTTGCGGTACATAATGATATGAAAAGTCACACAGGGATGATGATGACCATGGGCCAAGGAGCAGTCAACTCATCATCATCAAAACAGAAGCTAAACACGAGGAGTTCAACCGAAGCCGAACTGGTGGGCGTCGATGATGAAATGACACAAGTAATCTGGACCAGGCATTTCTTACAGGCGCAAGGTTTCACAGTTGTCGACAATATTGTGTATCAGGACAACCAAAGCGCAATGAAGCTTGAGAAGCATGGTAAAAGATCAAGCGGGAAGCGGACACGTCACATGAACATACGATACTTCTTCGTGACTGACCGAATATCAGCAAAAGAATTAGATGTGGAATACTGTCCCACGCTGGATATGATTGCTGATTACTTCACCAAGCCTCTGCAAGGCTCACAGTTCCGACGCTTTAGGAACATAATACTCGGAATAAAGGAACACGACATAACACGGTACAACCGCAATGCAATGGAGGAGATCAATGCCCGCAAGAAGCAGCGGCTTGCCAAAGCCGCGGAGGATGATCTTACTAAGCAGCAACTGTTAAATCAATGACAGTATTACAGCAGCTCAGCAAGACCACAGGAGTGTGTTGCGGGGAATCGATACCACGGTACGCGGACAGACCGACACCACCGGACAGACAACGGGTTCGCCCACACAACGGGCGTACTTTATATATATAGCCTACAGACACGGATCAACATAAGTGACGTGGTGGCAAATGAGCGAGTGAGGAGGGAATGAGCGATCCATGATTAGGGGAAGAGAACCAAAAGTGGAATTTAGTGATTTTAGTGTAATTGAGAGTGTATGCTCATTCTTTTTAGTTTTATCCAGTTAACAGCTATGACATAAGCTTTAAGACTTTCTGTAGTTAAGTAGGAAGATTAACACATGAATTCAGCACTATCCTACCTGTACGTATCGTCCTGTACATACGGTAGGTAGTTGCCTTTTTGTCGTGTTATTTGTGGCGCTTTTTCCTTCCCGCCACAAACATCTCACCTCCTTTTGCATTAGTCGCACTGGAGATCACTCTGATGACAAATTACGGAGCGATCTTCTTGTTCCGAACAGGCTAGGAAAAAGAGCACGAAGATTTTGCTGGAGGCTTGATCAAATCGTTGCTGTTCTTAACACAAAACACACAATCGCATTCCTTCGGCAAGAATAAAAGACAAGGAAAATCCATGGATTGGAATGATTTCAACACTATCCGCAACAAGTTGGGCCGCGGAGAGGAGTTGTCGACGAGCGATCTAATTTCCTTGGACCCACTTCACGATGCGATTTACGATCATGAGGGATTTATTGTCTGTAATCACAAACCATGTTCGTCTACAAAGTGTAGAATGGAGGAGAATGCACCTTTCCACCTGGAGTATCTGGATCGTTCTCTTCTGGATGGGCAATGCCAGAAGAGCCAACAGCACGGGCAGCAGGGGCTTCCTAGAGTGGTCCGCTATGTCGGTAAGTAGCATCATGCTTTTGCAATAAGCCGTGCGTTCTTTCCATTGTGCGATTGACCTTGCGCCAATCATTGCTGCATTCCATGCATTGCTGTTGTATTTACTGTCTGCCTTCTTGCTTGTCTTTCTTCATATTGATTTACTCACAACTTTGGATGTTTCTGTTGCGTTCCATACATTACGATAATGTGGAAACGGTACTATTCGCACGTGTTTCATTATGTCAACGAATTTCAAAAAAGGAATGGTGCAGGATATGCTTGAACCAGAATACTACGAATCCTATGACAGTCAAGGACGGTCGACTCATTTTGTAGATCACAACGAACCGGGCGATGATATCAATAACGCGAATGCCAACAATCATAGAAAAAGCGATGCATACCAATCGAAGCCTTCTTTGGTCGAAAGAACTCCCTTGGTGGTGGTCCCCATTCCATTTGCCTCGGATTGGTTGCATCGCGGAATTGTGAGGGGCCAGCGCAAAAGTAGCAGTGCTTCCAAGTCGGCCGTGGTGTCACCGGTCTCTGCCAATCGTGGAGATCGAAAACGAGACCGTGAAGTTGGTGGTGGAGTTGGCGCTTACGAAGATTGCCATATGAAAGGGGACCTCGACGAAAGTGTCTCGTGTCCGATGGATATAAAGTCGAACTCGACAGATCCACTACCGAAAAAGACGACAACAACTGAAGGGAAGAAGGGGAATAGGAGTACAATTGGTTCGGCAGGCTCTTCGACAAATCCAAACGCAGACGCAACAACAACTGATTGGTGGCCTGCAGGAACTTGTGGGACTTCTAAAGATCAGTGCCCAATCTTAGCAAAGATGTGCTATGACCAACTCCTATCGGGAGAGCCACTAGACAATGAAGACAATCAGGAGAGCGCATCGGGAACAAAGCGAAAGCAACGTGAACGACCATTGTTGCTAAACGACTTGGTTTCGATGGTTGGTGTCTTATCAATTGATCCATTCGAAGCAGATTTTTCAGGACAAGAAACCAAAAACAACGAGTTCGGATATTGTATAACAGAAGATCCATTGACGATGTTGATGGCAGAAATTCCACCTCCAAGTCGCTTGCCCCGTCTTCACGTCCTGAGTTACCGTCGGTTGCGATTGGACGATCTTGCTCGACGAGCCATAAATGTCGGAAAAATGGATAATGATGAGAATAATATTGCTTTGCATTCAGAACAAGAAGAAGTGCGGACTACTGAATTTCGTGCGGATGTGAACAGCGATGATGATGATGGTGACGACGACGACGACGACGACGATAGCAAAGTCGAGTGGTCTGGTTTTCGAAAGGATGTTTCGTCACTGGTTCCATCGGCCTTCGCATTTCTGCTGCAAGAGGGAACTTCGCCTGTTCCGAGATCGGCTCCATGGATCCGGGCACTTTGGATGTGTCTGTTGTCAGAAGCAGATCGATGCCCTCCCGACACCGACGGCATGCAGCAAATCATGCGAGCAGGCCCCGCAGAACGGGCTCTCGGGAGTATTTCCTTGCGATTATCAGCCCCGGATGTCACGAGTGCGAGGTCTTTGTTCCGTCGCCTGGCGGAAAGCGTTCTGCCGGATGTATGTCCCATCGTAGCGGCGGTGGACCTGACAACAGCGACGAAAACTTTCCCGAACAATACGTCCTTCTTTCCTCGTAAGGACGAGAATGGTCGCTTGCAACCTTGTCCATTACAACTTCCAAAGGGGTCAGTGTTACTAATATATTGTCCCCCTAATATGATCAGTGGAAGCGATACTACAAACCGCCGATCCATTGGTGCGAACGACGGTATGGAAAACAATGGTGACAGCAACGGTAAAATAATCCAAAGTGTTCTCAATGAACTAGTAAAACATCATCGGATTCCTTATAGATTCGAGGGGGGTGTCATGATTCCGTTCGAGGCGGACTTTCGCGTGATCCTTGTGACTACTCAAACACAGGAATTTCCATGCACTCTTTCGGTGTTGACGGGAACCGGCTCGACGATGATGACCGAAGATTTATCGCTGTTGTCACCGGTAACGAGTAAGACAAAACTAGAACTCCGGGAAAGCTTGGCAAATGGACGTTCAGTGGCTACTAAGAATGGATCTCCAATGAAATTCTCGTCAGCGATCCTAGAACAAGCACAAAAAGATTTCTTGGAGCGGCGCCAACGATGCCACGGGCCCTCGGCGTCGTCGGTACTACCGGGGGAAGACGATTTTCACAGGTGGTTAACCTTAACGAAACTGCAGACGAAAAACCGTAGGTCCCGTGGCAACAAGATTACGAGCAACAAGAACACGGCCGCTCTTGTGGAAGGGGAAACTGGAACAGACTCTTCTTTGCCTACGTCACCAAAAAAGACGTGGGAGCCAACAGTGAATGATTGGAAGGCAGCACTAAATCTCGACGATGATATCAGACTTACTGCCTGAATTCTTCTACAGAAATCATTGGCACCGATGAAGTTAGCTTCGAGAAACAATACAATGTAAAAGGCGGAACTTGTGTTCGAACTATTCTTTCTTCTAATGCACATTTCGTACTATTTTAATGAAAGGCTTATCTACCAGGGGATTTGGCAGGCCTTATAGTCTACAAATCTAAAGCCAGTGGATGCATCTGTTGCCTCGACTGCCTTCAACATTCCCGATACACTTTCGTCTGTATCGATAAGACCATTTCCATTAGTCATATCCGTTCGAACCCAACCGGGGTGCAGCAGCACAACTCGAGCTTCGTCGGCTAGATCGACCGACAAACTCTTTGCCACTTGATTAAGTGCACATTTTGATGAGCGGTATGCATATGCTCCTCCACTCCCATTGTCATCAACGCTTCCAACTTTGCTGCTTACGAACGCCATGACGGGAAACAAGCTTTCCGAGCGTTTTTGCAGGAGCGGAACGAACGATTGGGCAATCAATAGAGGAGCGACTGTGTTCACTTCAAATGTCTTCATCAGAACTTCCTTTGTCACCTTCGCTGTGGCGGCACGGCCTGCTCGAGCCGTACCATCGAATGAAGCGCCAGACAAGTAAATTCCCGCATTGTGGATGATATGGGTCAGTGATGGAAGGTTTTCCATCCCGGTCAATTCGCTAGCAGCACTGGATATGCTCTCCTCGTCTTCCAGATTCATATGAATAGTGTGGAGTTTGCCTTGGTGCCTGCTCTTGAGTTCGGAAAGCGTATCCGGTGTCTCCTTCGGAAAGTGCGCCGCGATAACTGTCGCACCCTTGTCCAAACACTGCTTCACGAATTCGAGTCCGATTCCCCTGCTCGAGCCTACGACGAGGATTGTGCACGAGTCATCAATCGGATTCAAAGATGGTTGCTCTTCGACAGGGGATTCTCCCGGAGCCACCGAGACCGGTTTCGGAAAGGCTACCTCACCAACCGCCAATAACTTTGTAGTTGAATATTGGCGTTGTGCAGCAGACCCCAAGCTTGCATCGGATGCCTGGCCGATGGGACGGGAAAAGGAGGATGCACCAGCGAAGGCGTTGGAACACGACGGAGAGAGCAAGAGAGCTCCTGCTCCGGCAACTTCAACGAGCCGACGGAAGCTCATAGACCCGCAGGTTTTCCGACCAATTGATTTCATCATTTGCCTTCGGAAGTTGAATAACAAGTGTCTGGAATCGCAAAATTGGTCCTTCACCCCAGAATAAAAAGGATCGATCGGGATCCTTCTCCGATTACGGTGTACTTCTCCGGTATTCGTAACGGTGCTACTCGTACGGTAGAAGTAACCATCGATGACGTAGTCGTCTCACCAATCGTGCACCGTTCACGTCTACTGTACGTCCGAAACAATAGAGCCTTTTTTTGACTTCGCAGTACTATTAGCAGTACTTACCGTACAAAATATTGTATTAGCAGTATTACTAGTAGTTCATAACCAGCTATGTTCATACCTAAATATTTAAAAAAGTACAGAGCGTGGTGGTGGTGCCACCATATTCCTACTCAAGAACCCCGTCGTCTGCTATCACAAAAGCAATACTAGTACAGTACTACTAATTTCTTTTCACCAGCAAGAAACTCGAGAAAGAATTTGAGCAAGCAATTGCAACAAAAGACGACGAGGAGAACAAGGATCAATCGTACCACAGAACAACAACAGGCAGCATCCCACTAGAAGAACCAGAAGCGTCGCCATGGAAGGCAGTAAGAAGACTTCACCCCCACCTGTGGAGTGCTCTGATCCCCCAAGCTCATAAAGAATGATATGGCCCCAAAGGTTGCTTAAGATTCTTGTCCCGCACTTTTTCAACTACAGAATAAATTGAATGATGCATTGACATCTAGAATATACCGCAGGTTAAATTTGTTCACGGTCTTCTCCAGATTTTCTTGAATTTTTGTCCTTTGATTTATTGGTAGAATTTCGTAAAAAAGTAGTACAGATATTTGCGACTGGCTTGTGAACCTACACAAATACAACCACGGAAAACCATAAGACCACAACGCAAGGTTCTCGCTTCTTTGCATTAAATCCGATAAGGAAGCAGTGAGAAGGAGCAGCGAACGAAAAGTGAATCTTTAGGGAGCCAATGGGTGACACAGAATTGGCTGTGAGCCTGCATGCACGTCCGTTTTGGAGATCCCGCCGGGATGGAGGCGTTCCGAGAAAGACCTGGAAAAACTTCGAAACTACTATGTTTTAAGATCAACCGACAGTTTGGGAGTTGCACTGTTCGCTCTGCCTAGGCCCTTCGCCTCTGCAGCAACTCGGGGCCGAGGTTCATCAGAATCGCCGCCACGCGGGGATCTCCTTCGGCCCCTTCGTTGCTTCCCCCGGGGAGGGACGACTGCGCGCTTTCTCGCTGCTTGTACGAATCACAGCACGCCATGGTGGTCATCCAATCGAGCGATTCGCCCTCGTCGATGGTCCCGTCGAGCGACACCAGGGTTCCCACGTAGTCCTCGACGCGGAGGCGCTTCCAGTGGTGCGGGGATGTGAGCAGGTCGGGGGCAAAGGCAAAGAGGTAGTGGCACACCGTCGACGGCCGGATGTCGCGGGCCCAGACCTCCCGCGAAAGGCTCTTCGCCACCAGCCCGGCGGCCCTGGTCTTGTCGTCGAGTCCCGTCCAGAAGAGCATCTGGCGAACCGCACGGAGCTCGGCGTAGGCTTTGCCGTTGCCGATGGTAGCGAGCGTCTGCGAGCCACCGGTGCCGCTGGCCCTCGTCATGAACTGGTCAACGATCAGCTCGAAATCGGCGAGGTCCTGCGTGAGCTGCATCTTGGCGTCCTCTCCCATCGGGCGGATGAGAGACGCGGTGGAGACAAAGGTGTACACGGAAAATATGGACACGGCCGATCCCACGGCAAGGGAGTAGGGCGGGGGAAGCTTGTCCAGGAATTGCTTGCAGAAGGCGTCGTACAGCCCGCCCAAATACTTCTGAGAAAAGGAGGGGGCCGAAGGGTCCACGTCCATTGCGCTCTTTCTTCCCCCGCTCAGGTACACCCCTTCGTGGTGCATGCGTCCTATCGCCGCCGCCACGGACCGGTTCAGGGCCCGGCAGAGCGGGTTCAGGACCAGCCAGTCGACCGTGCGGTCGATTTCCTTTCGGGCCGGCAGGAGGGCCTGCACGGCGATGCTGGAGGCCTCCTCGAGCTGGTGGGTGACCGCCGGGCGGTAGGGTTCCAGAAAGACCTTTTCCGGTGCGTTCCGGAGGCACTCCGACATGAAGTACATGATCTTGGTGACCTTCATGTCGTGGACCAGGGCCTCCGTGGGGGATCCGTCGGCGGAGAGACACCCGTCCTCGCCGACCTTGCTGACGGCGTTTTCGGCCCGGGCGCAAAACCGGCCGATCATGCCGACAACGTTTTCGGCAATCATGGTGACGGTCGAGAGTTCCCCGCCTCCCTCCCGGGGATCGGCCATGGCGAGTTCCTGCCGGATGATGGAATCGAACCTCTGTATGTCGTACTTGGAGGGCAGGAGCGGCAGGTGGGAGATGGCGTTGCCGACGTCGTCGATGGTCACGTTTTCGCCAAACATGTACTCCAGGGGGGCGCAGAGCCGCTCGCGGGAGGCGTCCAGGAAGGCCATTTGCATCCGGAAGAGACCCTTTTCCGACGCGTGGTTTCCCTGCATCGCCATCCATTCGTGCGACTGAAAGACGACCGACAGGGACTTGGTGGTCCCGCCGCCGGAAGCGGAGGCCGCGGCCCCACCGGCCGAGCCCATGTCTTCCCCGTCTCCGGTCTTGGCCACGGTCCAGCTGTCGGCACTGATCGTCGACGGCCCGGTTCGTCGGTTCCCGCCGGTTCCGGACGCTCCCGCGTCTCCCCTTGCGACCAACTTGGTGCTCCACTGCAGAAAGGCGTCGTCGAGGGCGGCCGAGCCCCCCAGCGACCCTTTGGTGGAAGCGGACCCGGAGGCCTCCGCGGTCTCGTCGAGGGCCACCACGGGCGTCGCTCCGGCGGCCCCCGCGGCCTGCATGACGTCCTGCAGCGAGGCCAGCATGTTCAGCGCCGCCGACCGTGTCGCCGGGTAGAGGGCCGCAACGTCCGGGGCGAACTTTCCGTGCTCGTAGGTGATGATGTGCTTGAGGCGGTCCCCCATGCGCAGGCAGAGGCGGTCCCAGTACAGCGCAAAGATCGACCAGTCCTTGGTTCCGGGGGAGGGTCCCCTTGCCGGCCCGGAGCGGAAGCGCTCGGGGACGGGGGCCGCGGCCACCACGTCCCGAAAGACCTGCCGGCTGACGGGATCGGTCTTGCGGAGGAGGACCTGCTGCAGGTTCCACACCCGCAGGGAGGCCTCGGCGACCTCGTCGGCCCATCGGGTGGCGGCCCGTGCCCGGAACTCCCGGAGCTTGTTCTTGAGGGCCCTCTGGACCCCGGCGTCGGAGAGCTTTTTGCTCGCCGCGGAGATCTTGGCCTCGGAGGTGGCGGTCTCCAGGAGGTTGGTGAGGGTGGTGGGCGACCAGAAGTTGTTGGTGGATTTCTCTGCGGCCAGGAGGGCGTGGCCCACCGCGCTCCAGGCGGCCTCGGGGAGCTCCCCGAGGTGGTAGTAGACCTGGAGCGTCGCCCCGAGCCGAACGATGGACGAGGACGAGACGGACCCATGGGAGGCCCCGGCCTCTTGGTGCGGCTGCTGCTGCTGGGCCAGGAGGGCGGCCGCGGCCTCCCGCACCGCGGCCGCGGTCCGGGTGGCGTGGGGCCGGATGGCCTCGACGATCTCGATCCGGTCCTCGCTGCTGGTGCCCCGCTTGAGCTCGGGCTTGGAGAGCAGGTCCTCGATGACCGCCACCGAGGCCGCCGCCCGCGTCAGGTCCCGGGTGTCGTCCAGCAAAAAGTTTTCCAGCTTGGAGGCCTCGAACTGGAGCCTCAGGATCATCTTGAGCGTCGCCGAGAGCTGCAGGACCCTCGAGAGGCGGCTGGTGGCGGTTTCCATCCTCGTGAGCCCGCGCTGGAGCGAGGTCTCGACGCGGGAGGCGATTCCCTGCAAAACGTCGCCCTGCCGCTTGAGCCGGTCGCAGCGCTCCCGGGTGGCGACCAGGGTGGTGGTAGCAGCATTCGTGGCCGATGGATGGGCCGCTGCCGGGGAGATTCCCTCCTCGCCGTTGCCGTTGCCACCGCCGTTGCCACCGCCTCTCTTTGGTTCGCCTTCCCCGTCGGTCTCTCCGTCCTCCTCCACCACGGTGGCGATCGCGTGGCCGTGCAGCCGCAGGAGCGGCCCCGCCACGGCTTCCGGGCTCGTCCGGGAGACGCGTTCCGCCAGGGACTCCACCAGGGCCAGCTTCCGCTCCACCTCCCCCAGGGCCTCCTCCGCCTGCTGCTTGTGGTCCCGGACGCTGCTGGTGCCGGATCGATCCCCGTTCTCGTTCTCGTTCTCGAGCAGGAGGGCCGCCGCGTACGAGAAGCTGGCCTCGCCGGTGGTCGTCGCTGCCGATGCGCCGCTTCCGCCGAGAAGGGGTTCCGCCGGATCCCCGGCATCGTCCGCGTCGGCCTCGGTTGCCTCTGCGTCGGAAGTCGAATTCGAATTCGAATTCGAGCCCGCGCTGAGGTGCATCCGGTGTTTCGTGAGCAGCGGGTCCTCGCGAAGCAGCAGGGCCAGCGAAGAGGCCGCCTGTGCTCCCAGAGAGGAGGACGACGCCTTGCCCCTCGACGTTTTGCGACGGGGGGACGCCGAGGTCTTCGGGGCGTCGCTGCCACCACCGTCCATCGGGACCACCGTGGTTCGTCCCGCCATTGTTCTGCAATGCGGTTTTGTTGCGTTGTGTTGGGTTGCGTTGCGTTGTACTGTGTTGTACTGCGTTGGGTTGGGTTGGGTTGGGTTGGGTTTTGCTGCTAGCTAGCTTCTCGAGATGATGGTGCTACGGGCATCGGATCGTATCGTATCGTAGCGTATCGCAACAATCGGAATGAGGGCGTCATGGTCATTTCTTGAATCGAAAAAAGCCGATCTAGTTTTGGAAAGACTGCAATAGCTTTTCTGCACCCCCCCCCCTTCGGACGACATCCCCCCCAAAATGATGTGCTGCGAGTCGACCTGAGAAGCGAATCAGATTGGTCTGCTTCGGTGGCAGTGAAAGTCGAAGGCACTGTATTAGGAATCAGTGTTCAATATTGAACAATAACCTGACCCCTAATATATATGTATTATATATATATTGTACTAATTCGTGCGTAGAGGTTATCAGATCCTTTTCAGATCTGATAACATCATGATACCAGTAATTTGTGTACATTCTTGCGTAGCC